CACCTGATCATGGCCTTTTGCTTTGGTTCAAGGTGCTTGCAGCTGGGACAATCGCATCTTTTGAACATGGAGCTCATAGCCTGAGCAACGTAGTGCGAAGCTGTGCCGCACAACCGTTTGCTGGGTTGCCCAACCTCCACTGTGCTTGTCATTTGGATCGGGAAACCGGAGCAACCAAAAGGAGCAGATGTTTTTCACCTGCTTTGGACAAGTGGTGGCAGCACCCCCTAGCACGCCAATCTGTTTCCATGCTTTAGGCCAGCCGTTGGCATTTGCTCCTCCAGTTGTTTGTTTCTGTCACCGATTTCCCCTCAGAGTCTGTAGCCAATTTTGCTACCGCAACGGGCATTGGGCAGCATTCACGTGCACGATTGTTGTCCAGAAGGTCGAGGAGCATAACATGGACCATTCTGGCTGGCGTGTTGTTGCGTTTCGTTGGGCAGTTGTTGTGCAGTGTGGCTGTGCGCTGAAATGGGTTGTTCTGTGGTGCGGCGTGGTTCGCCGCCGCTGTCAGTGAACAGGTTTGTTCCCGCGCGCCGTTGCAAAAGGACAAAAAGGAGGGCTCATGGTCCATGGCCCCAGATGTGTTGCTGTGTACTGCTTCGTGTAAGGCTTGGCCAAGCACCGGCTGTCGCACAGCTTCGTATTGATGAAGCTAGTCCTTGCTCTGCCTGCGTCGGCAGAACCGTAAAGCCACCAGGGAGGCATCTTGCGCAAGTTGTGCATCACTGGAGGAGGTGGTTGCATGACCGCAGTTGCTGTTGACCCGTCGAAAGTCAGTGATGAGAAGTGAATGGTAAGTGGTGCTGGTGATATGCAGAGCGGTCAGGCCAGTCGGATAGCCTGACTGGGACGGAGAATATCAAAGAAGGCAGGATTCTTTGCAAGCTTATCCAAGGCCGGATAGAGGTCCTTTCGTCGAGATTGTTGCACCGATTTTTAGTGTTCGAACAAAAATTCTGGATTTTAATCTATCGGGCAATTTCCCTGAGTCTAATCCTAGGGTCTATTCGAAAAAACCGTGGATAGTGGCTGGTGTGTGTCGGTCTTCAGCGAGTTCCGCAGGCAACCCCATCGGGCAAGCCTCTCTGGAGGCTGCTCGTGCTATTGCCGGCAAGAGCGCTGAGGCGCTAAACCGACCGGTGGGGGGGGGGGGGGGGCGGGGGGACTGCAGGCAGCATCGTTTTTCCTGGGGCGTTTTTTGTCATTTTGTCTAGCCAAGTGTGACTTATGGCACTCTGTCCAACTTGGGCACTCATCCAATGGACCATCGTCCATGCGGCTGCAGGGGCATTCCCCCATGCAACCAGACATTTCATCTCCCACTCTTGAGTTTGTTGAGTCCCTTGCTCATGCCTCTCTCCTCCAGGGATATGGATCTGGGCAGATGATCACAAGCTCGCCTGAAAGTAAGACGAGCGATTGGCGCATGAAGGCTCTTTACATTGGGATTTCTTATTTCAGATTTGTGAATTCCAGTGATTTGCCCAGATTATGGGTTCTTGAGAGTCTCCTCCTCTCAGATGTGTGGCCCAGATAGGAATTTGCCCAGTAACCAGACCTGACCAGATTCGCCCAACATTTTGTGATTTGCTACAAAGATAATTTTGCTCGTCTTGTTGCCATGTGATTTCCAGCTTACCGATGGCCAGATGCATGGCGTCGCAGGAGATGCCAGACTCTGAGGACCTGCTGACGCCCTGGTGCACCTGCTTTGGCTCGCAGGCACTCAGAAAAAGGGGAGCTTTGTCACTTGAGGTCTCAAAATGGTGGACTCCCTTTGGTGTTTACGGAGAAACCAGAAGGACACCCACCGTTGTCTGGGGGTCCTCCTAGTTTGAGTAGCGTGTCATGGAGGAACCCTTGTTTTGGCAGTGGTGCAAAGGACACCAAAAGGAGTTGCTAGCCAAAAATAGAGCGCGGCAGCTCTGGTCTACAAAAGGCGAAATGTCACGGCCAGAAATGCCTGTGCTTGATTTATTTGTGTTTATCCATGACCGGATTTCATTTGCAAACTGTAGTACAAAACCCAACCATTTGGCACCTCTCGCATCATCCAAAGACTTCAAAGATCTGTGTGTGTGGGTATGTGTCAAAATCATCAGCAAGCATGGATTCTGCAAAAGACAAGCACCGCACCGTGAAGACAGTAACAATCTACGGATCCATGCCAAAAGAATACATGTTTTGTTTAAACGGGCTTTGTACACAGCCGTTGGTTTCAGCCAATCTCGATGCATATTTGTCTGTTTTGCTGCGAGTGTTTGCCCAAACAAACCGACCACTTGGTGATTTGCAAGGAATGCACATTTGAGTGGCCCAGACCTCCTGCGGGGCCTTGATCGATCATGTCTTGGGTTTCTCTTCATCCGAGCAAAGCCAACAACAAGCTGCCCCCACGACGTCTCGTGGCGGGAGGTTTTCGGGATGTCGCATGGTGCAGAATTGTCCTGGGACCTCTCGCGCAGGTGTGCTCCCACTATGCCAGGACCACTGGCACCAAAGTGATGCTTGGCGCTTACTTTTTTCCCTCACCCGACATCTTTTCAGAGATCATATTTGCAGACCAACATCTCCAGAGATTCTGCATTCAGAAGATGGTGTTTACATAAAACCAGCTACCTAAAGTTTGCGGCTTGGCTTGTTGGCCAGCAATCCAAATCGCTGAGTGGTTGCCCTAAAGCTCGGGTGCGACGGGACAGGCCCCTTTGCGACATTGCTCCTGCCGCTCAAGACCGGTTGAACGGCCCCATGTGTTCGCTACCCTTTTTGGGGTTTGACTTCAGTAAGTGGGAACAACCCCGTGCACGCCGTATGAGTTGCTCCGTGTGAGCCTTGGACTTGAGCGGCATTCCGTTCAGAAACCCCAAAACTCCCAGAAGCGAACCTTGGACACTTCTGTTTGGTACTCCCGCGCAAATGTCTTCGGGATCCGAATCCAAGCCGTGTGTTTTGGTATGGGCTTTGCAACAAGCTTCTTCTTCCTCTTTAGGGATAACAGGATGAAGTAAACCCGCCACAAGGCAAGGACATCCAGCCCTAGCTAAGTGGTTGTAATCCAAGATGAGTCGGCGAACTTTTGGGGAATTCGCTGGTGCAGGGGCAGAGCGGGCATCACGCATGTACTTTTTCCTGTATGTTTTCGTTGGTCATACGTTTTCGGCGAGAACCCACTTGTATTGAGGTAGTTTTGACATCAACCAGGAGGAAGCCGGGAAGGTTTAAGTTAGAGGTGTTTGTTGCTTGAGTTTGATCTGACCAGCTGAGAGAGCTCATGTCATCGGCTTCCTGAGCCATCGAAGGCCCTTAGTTGCGGCGGGCGGTCGTCTCAACTGTTTGTTGTGTGTTGTTTTTTTGAATAGGGGCTTCATTTCTTTTCATATATTTTTTAGTTGTGAGAGCTACCCACGTGGTTTGCGCGGAGCTGTGGAGCTGTGGACCCGCCCAGGAAGTTCGTGAACGACTGCGGCTGCGCTTCTGGCACACCTGGCAAGGGCTTCTGCATGTCAGAAGTGTCCAAGGATCACATCTATGGATGCCGCTCTGCTGAAGCTGCCAGTGGGGAAGGTTCCGGCGTCCAGGTTTGTGCGTTGACATGGTTGACAGAAATGGGGCTGGGCCAAAGTCCTGTTAAAAAGAGGCTTGATAACGAGGCATGCGGCTGATTGTGAACATCTTGCAACTATGAATGTTGATTGGGGGCAACCTATGAATGCCCATGTTGCATTGCTTGTACTGGTAGACTGGAACAATGTACTCCACTTAAAGATGCATGTCTCTCGCTCTCGCCAGCCATCTATTCCCTATCTATCGACCTACCTATCTAAATAAAAAGCCTGTCTAGCAATCTTGCTATCTAGGTAGCTAGAATCTCTCTCTATATATATTATATACACATACATGTATAATTGTATACATACATACATTACATTGCATTGCAATGCATTGCATTGCATTGCATTGCATTGCATTGCATTGCATTGCATTGCATTGCATTGCATTGCATTGCATTGCATTGCGTTGCGTTACGTTACATACACACATACATACATACATACATACATACATACATACATACATACATACATACATACATACATACATACATACATACATACATACATACATACATACATACATACATACATACATACATACATACATACATACATACATACATACATACATACATACATACATACATACATACATACATACATACATACATACATACATACATACATACATACATACATACATACATACATACATACATATATACATGCATAATATACAGATATATATATATATGTATACAGTATGTGTATATATATATATATATATGTATGTGTATATATATATATATATATATGTATAAATACACATATCGGGGCTGTAACTCCACTCATGACAAATCGAGCCACTGGGCCAACATCCATGCCGAATGGTTTGAAGTGTCACAGGTCTTCATGACCGGGTGAACCACTTTGGACCGTGGAGCAAATGTCAGGGGGAACTTGCCCCTTCCCCGCAACCCCCACAGAGCATGAGCTGGTGGCTGCTTGGGCCGAAGCGCGGCGTTTTGGGCCCCGGCTCGCTAGGTGAAGGCTGGGCGCGAGAGCAGTTCAAGATGCCCGGCCACGCCACTCCAGGCCAGGCACAGCTCCGATCGGGTTTCTGTTCACTGATCAAGCATGTTGCTTTGTTTTTTGCAGGCCTAGACATAGTGTCCCTTCACAGATGGCCAAAGGGGCGTGAATCCAAAGGAATTGAAGAACTGGCGCTCGGTGCCACCAAAGCTGATGGCGGATCCACGCATGCCGCTCCAGAGTACGACCAGGGAGCTGGAAAGTTCAAAGCGAGCATTCAGGGTACCTTCCAAAGTAGTTGGGACAAAATGGCCAAACTGTAGCGGACCTTGGGAAGAATTGGTTCCACAAGTGAGGTGTTGCGTTTGGGCGGTTGGGCTCATTTGGGCGTTCCTTGTAGTTCCTGGCGCCATGGCCGACCCGGACGCGGCGCCTCCGGCGCCTCCGGCGGAGCCGGCTCCGCCGGCTCCGTGGCGCGGGAGGTGGCGGCTGACGGGCTCCAAGATCAACTGCCGCTCCTCGCCCTCGGCCGCGGATCCCTCGACGCTCGGAGACTCGCAGCGCGCCGGCTCCGGGAACGGCACACGACTCGGATCTTTCATGAGTCCGGTCTCCGGGCCCTCCATGTCTTGTTGAACCTGCGGATTGTTTTCTTAGACCATCTTAGACCTCGTGGCTGATCAAAACTGTGATACACCTAGGAATTATGGGTCCTTCAGGCTTGTGGAGAAGAGGTATACCCTACACCTAGGCATTGCCATGAGTGAGCACTTTGAGTTGGTGTATTTCTTTCTCCTTCCGTAGTCATTCTTTTAGCTTGTCCACAAGCCTATGAACCTCAGCGTTGTTCAAGCGGCTGACGTGGCGACCCTCCCCAAAGTTTTAAGCATTGCAGTTATTCGTTGTTTGTTTCGTTTTGAACTACATACAGCAATCTTTGGTCAAGCCACCTGCAGTTCACCAGCCATGTCCTCAACAAATTTGACCGCAGCCGCGGCTTGAGGAACATCATCTGCAAGCTCCGACAGGGCGCTGTCGTGGTGGTGGAGGAGCCAGTGTTTGCTTTTCTATTGACGGTTCGACCTCGGCCCAAAGCGCAGGGTATGGGACTTGTGCAGAACCTGAAAGGGAATTTGCTCTTGGGCTCCTCAATCAAGTTTCATTTTTGGAGGATACACGCGCCAAGAGGAGGTTTTTCAATCAGTATTTCGGCGTTAAAACATGGTCAAACGGCAACTTGAGTTTGACCTCTGGGAAAACCTTTCAGGGGGTTGATTCGCCCAACCCTTAGACTCCTCTATTTGGGTTTGTCTCAAAATAGGGGCTGAACACCCCCCAAATCGGGGCTGAACACCCAGCCAAGACGGGTGCGCGGCGTGAGGAGCTCCAGGCCTCCGACTGGTGCCTCCTCAAAGGGCCCCCGCCGGTGGCCGGCCGCTTCGTGCGCTTGCGGATGTCCGACACCGCGGAGCGGTGCTGGGAGCGCCACGGACGACCTGGGTCTGAGGGGTCGTCGTGTTGGTTTTTTGTGCTTTTCCCGGGCGGCGAGCGGGGTTTTGTGTTACCAGGGGGCTGACAAAGCATTCACTGTTGGTTGGATCTGTTTTGTGAAGACGCATTTTGAGGGGTTCCAGAAATTACATTGGGGGTTGTTTCTGTTGAAACTGCCATGTGGGGCGCATTTCGGTCTGCCGGCGCATTTTGGGCCTATCTCAGGTTCTCACATGAGGTCCAGCCGAAATGTCCAGCAGTCTATGATCCACTTGGGGACATGGGGGAATGCACTAAATCCCACACAAAAACCAGGGGACGCACAGAACAAGTCCCAGCCATGTCCTCTTGGAGAATGTTTGCAACCACTTACATGGCTGTGGGTCAAAACCAACGGTACCATTTTGGGGTAGGTGCACCACCCATTTTAGTCTTCTTTAGTGGGGATTGGGATGTTCACTGGGGGTACGATTTGGCTTCTGACCCATGGCCACATGGTCCCTGCGAAGCCAAGGTTCCTCGGCCCAGAGGACGAGGACGTGTCGCCCGGGGAGTTGTGGCAAGCGGTGCAGCAGTTCCCCCACACCTCCTCGGCCGCGTGGCGATCGCTTTGGCAAATCGGATGCGGTGCAGCAGGGTCCCCTCCCCCCCCCGTGTTTTGACACGCCCATTGGGTGCCTCCAAAGGGACACAAACCCGGGCCATGTATGTGGCTGGTGTCGGTTCTCAGGCGCTGGAGAGTTGAAGAGCCCTTTTTTTGGCGTTTGTATGACATGACGAAGCAGCACTGGACATGCAATTATTGGAATTGAATTCCAATAATTGCAATAATTGCAAAATATTGCAATAATTGCAAAATCCGCGACCCCCAAATATTGCAATTATTGCAAGTTGTTGGTTTCTCCTGTAGCTCTTCCCCGTTCTGGGACGGGTCCGTGGGACGGGTCCGGGGCTCAACCAGAGAGGTGGAGGTGGGGAGTTTGCGGATTCTGGTGGTGCAGCACCAGCCCAACATGGAGCCCTTGAAGGAGCACAGGGATCCTTGTCGGAGTCGGGTCCCTTTTGGGTTAGGGAGCCAAAGGGACACCTCACACTTTAGGGGTCCCTCTGACCCGCAGATAGAGGCAGTCTATGAAAGGAAAACCCTTCTTAGGGGAGCAGGTGGCAGCTGAAGACTGGAGTCCCCTTGGCATGAAACCGGAATACGGCGGAGGCCAGCGAATGTTCCGATTCTGAACAAGACTGCTTTCTTGCTTTTCAAGGATCATCTTGGGCAGTTGCTTTTGGGTGTTTGCAAGAATCACCATCCAAGCTTTGAATGCCTCCAGAAGGACGGTTCGAAGGGGTCAAACTAAACGCAGTTTCCACATTTGGCGGGGGCAGGGTCAAATCCATCAATTTGGAAGTTGATCGGACATTTCCATGATGTAACCCAACCGGTGCCCCATACACGGAGATTCTCTACGAAGTGCTTGTTGCGCTCCTTCTGTAAATCCGGACGGGAGCGTTGATCAAAAACTGGGGGTCATTGTTTTGGCTGGTGTTGGGGGTTATCAACTCTGGGGAGGTTGACTCTTATGATGGTGAAATAATGAGGCCAGTGTCAGTGGGACCGTTTTTGCTCTCACTCCCGCAAGTCGAGAGACCGATGCTAATTTCGGGAAGGGGCCAAGAAGGTCCGACACCCACTGGGATGGACAAAATCCACTTCCACTTGGGATGGATGGAACTCTACTCGTTGACAAACCACCTCCCAACTGGTGCAAAGCTGATTCTGCCTATACAGTCTATGGACATGGGGACATTCACCCAATTTCCCCCAACACCTTCCCACAGACAAATTCAGAGCCTTTTTTTGGGGCACCGCAACCCCGCGGCCGACAAAAGGCGTGACCCCGCGCCGCTCTCACCGCAGGAGTTCCTGGACGCGGGGCGGCACTCGGTGGAGGTGTGGCCCGTGGAGCGGGTCGCCTGGCGCGAGGCCTGGCGGGTCATCCCCCAGCTCTTCGACGCCGTGGTGCTCTCTGGCGGCGGCATCGGCGTGACCTTGGAGGCGGGGGAGAAGAGGGGAACGGTCAAAGGCTTTTGGTGAGGACATGGTCGATTTGTTTTTGGCTAAAAAAACAAAAAAACACCTTCCCCCCAAAATTCATGTTCACCAAGGAGGCCCCAGTTTTGAAAGTCGACATGGGGGGAAGGCACAGAGATAGGTTCCCCAAAGAGATCTGAATCGGGGAGAAGTGATTTGTGTTGAACATTTCGGACATGGAGTTGTCTTTTGGGGAAATAGCCAGCCGCTGAAAATAGTTTTGTTCCTTTGCCGAAATAGCATCGGGCCCCTTCGTTGATGGGTTCCTGTTGGTTTCTCTTTCAAGCAGCAACCCAAAGCTCAAGAGATGCGGGAAGACAGGCATGGATTCTTCAATTTAAAGGTGCAGCTTTGTTGGACCCCACCAGCAAATGGTCACTTCTTTGTTTCAGACATCTAGTGACGCTGGATTAGGTGGGATTCCCTAACAGGCAAATTTTGGCATCATGATAGGGCTTCTGTGCTTGCAGTTTGTATTCATAAAAATAGTTTGCCCCGATGCCGTTTTCGACCCACTTTGCCCGAAGCAAGTCTGCTCTTGTGAACCTTTCGCTCAACTGCTTGCCAAGCACAGGTATGAAGTCGGCCTTTTGGATTTGGACCAATGCGTGGAGGTTGATTCCAGTCCATGTGCACCCATCCGGATCTTGAATCTAACCTGGATTCGGGTTTCGTTTGGTTTGTCCTTCACTTTTCAAGTCAAAGGAACCTCCAAGAAGGACAGGCCGGCTTTCACCGCGACATATAGGGATCCATTGGATTCGCAGCTCACTTGAGGTTTGTAAATGTCTAGTCCGTCACTGTACGGAACCGAAAGCTCTGATTTTCCTACTAGAAAAGGTGACCAAACCCCTACTGTTGCCGGGATCCCTAGCAGGTTGGTTTGGCCCAAGTGTGCTGAGCAGGTGTTTCTTCTAACCAAGAAGCAATCCTTAACAGAATCATTCTCAATGTGAAAACGATGGACCCCTTCTTGGACTTTGGCACTCCAAGGTCACCACAGTGCCAAGATGTCCTGGGCTGGATTGTTTCCTTTAGAGGAACGGGGTGATTTTTCAGATCTGCACACTCAGGTGAGGACACTGGAGGAGAAGGCCTTAACCAAGATGGAGGTGGGACTTTTGACCCAGCGCCAACTCGCACAGGCGATGTTGCCATGATCAAAGTCTTCACTTGGCTATGAGTCAAAATTAAACCAACAGGGGACCGCAGGTTTTAGTGATGTTTCCGTTTACCAGCGTTCCAGTTTGGGTACCTATTTTTGACCCACAGTCACTTGGTTGTGAATTCGTGCCGCATAGTGTGACACCCGTTTACTTTTCCGGGTCTAGGTCAATTTTGCTGGGTTGCTTATCATGCCAAAAGGACAAGGATCGAATACTCCTTGGTAAGAAGGATCCTATGAAGTCATCCGCGGACATCCACATACAAGTAGCTGTCAAATGTTGTTTCCTCATTCATTTGGATTTGGGTGAATCGTCAACCCAGCTTCAAGATCTGAATGTTGTTGCAGCTCCTTCAAATGGCGTATAATTATTTTAACGCCTCCGGCTCAGGCCGCCGACATTACAGGCCCGCTTTCTTATTTGCGTCCCTTTGGAATTGTCCCCTTGCCCCCTTCCCCTCTGAGATTTTTGCCCCCCTTTCTTTGTTGAGATCCATTCCCCCTTTCCGCTCTAAGGCCTTTTCTCCCTCTGATTTTTTCCCTTTTCCTCCCTAAGATGTTTTCCCTCTCCCTGTTGAGATCCTTTCCCCCCTTTCCCCCCTAAGGCCTTTTCCCCCCTGAGATCTTCTCCCTTTTCTCCCTTTCCCCCACTTTCCCCCCTACGGCCTTTTCCTCCCTGGGATCTTTTCCCTTTCCTCCCTGAGATCTTTCCCCCCCTGTTGAGATCCTTTCCCCCGTTTCCCCCCTACGGCCTTTCCCCCCGCTGAGATCTTCTCCCTATTCCTCCTTAAGATCCTTTGCCCCCTTTCCCTGTTGAGATCCTTTCCCCCCTTCCCTTTAAGGCCTTTCCAGATCTTCTCCCTTTTCCTTCCTAAGATTGTTTCCCCCCTTTCCCTGTTGAGATCCTTCCCACCCTTTCCCCCCTCAGGCCTTTCCCCCCCCTGAGAGCTTCTCCCTTTTCCTTCCTTAGATCTTTCCCCCCTTTCCCTGTTGGCCTTTTTTCCCCCAGATCTTCTCCCTTTCCTCCCTGAGATCTTTCCCCCCCTTTCCCTGCTCAGATCCTTTCCCCCCTTTCCCCCCTAAGGCCTTCCCCCCCCTGAGATCTTCTCCCTTTTCCTCCCTAAGATCTTTTGCCACCTTTCCCTGTTGAGATCCATTCCCCCTTTCCCCCCTAAGGCCCTTTCTCCCTCTTTCCCACCCTGAGTTCTTCTCCCTTTTCCTCCCTAAGATCTTTTCCCCCCTTTCCCTGTTGAGTTCCCCCCCTGAGATCTTCTCCCTTTTCCTCCCGAAGATCTTTTGCCACCTTTGCCTGTTGAGATCCTTCCCCCCCCCCCCCCCCTTTGCCCCCTAAGGCCTTTTTTTCCCCGGCGATCTTCCCCCTTTTCCTTCCTAAGATCTTTTCCCCCCTTTCCTTGTTGAGATCCTTTCCCCCCCCTTTCCCCCCTAAGGCCTTTTCCCCCCAAGATCTTCTCCCTTTCCTCTCTAAGATGTTTTCCCCCCTTTCCCTGTTGAGATCCTTTGCCCCCTTTCCCCCCTAAGTCCTTTTCTCCCAGATCTTCTCCCTTTCCTCCCTAAGATCTTCCCCCCCCTTTCCTCCCTAAGATCTTTCCCACCCTTTCCCTGTTGAGATCCTTTCCCCCCTTTCCCTCCCAAGGCCTTTCCCCCCCTGAGAGCTTCTCCCTTTTCCTCCCTAAGATCTTTTCCCCCCTTTCCCTTTCCTCCCTAAGATCTTTTCCACCTTTCTTTTGAGATCCTTTCCCCCCTGTCCCCCCTAAGGCCTTTTCCCACCCTGAGTTCTTCTCCCTTTTCCTCCCTAAGATCTTTTCCCCCCTTTTCCTGTTGAGTTTCCCCCCCTGAGATCTTCTCCCTTTTCCTCCCGAAGATCTTTTGCCACCTTTCCCTGTTGAGATCCTTTCCCCTCCTTTGCCCCCTAAGGCCTTTTTCCCCCCGATCTTCCCCCTTTTCCTTCCTAAGATCTTTTCCCCCCTTTCCTTGTTGAGATCCTTTCCCCCCCTTTCCCCCCTAAGGCCTTTTCCCCCCAAGATCTTCTCCCTTTTCCTCTCTAAGATGTTTTCCCCCCTTTCCCTGTTGAGATCCTTTCCCCCCTTTCCCCCCTAAGGCCTTTCCCGCCCTGAGATCTTAAGGCCTTTTCCCCCCACTGAGATCTTCTCGCTTTTCCTCCCTAAGATCTTCTCCCACCTTTCTTTGTGGAGATCCCCTTTCCCCCCCTGAGATCTTCTCCCTTGACCTCCCTAAGATCCTTCCCTTCTTTTCCGGTTGAGATCCTTTCCCTCTAAGGCCTTTTCCCCCAGATCTTCTCCCTTTCCTCCCTAAGATCTTTCCCACCCTTTCCCTGTTGAGACCCTTTCCTCCCTAAGGCCTTTCCCCCCCTGAGATCTTTCTCCCTTTTCCTGCCTAAGATCCTTCCCCTCTTTTCCGGTTGAGATCCTTTCCCCCCTTTCCCCCCTTTCCCCCCTAAGTCCTGTTCTCCCAGATCTTCTCCCTTTCCTTCCTAAGATCTTCCCCCCCCCCCCCTTTCCTCCCTAAGATCTTTCCCTCCCTTTCCCTATTGAGATCCTTTCCCCCCTTTCCCTCCTAAGGCCTTTTCCCCCCTGAGAGCTTCTCCCTTTTCTTTATCTTTTCCCCCCTTTTATTGTTGGCCTTTTTTCCTCAGATCTTCTCCCTTTCCTCCCTAAGATCTTTTTTTTTCCCCAGATCTTCTCCCTTTCCTCCCTGAGATCTTTCCCCCCCTTTCCCTCTTGAGATCCTTTCCCCCCATTTCCCCCCTTCATTTCCAGATGTTCCTTCACCAGCATGGGCAACATCCCCAGCATCACTTGCATCATCCGCATCCTTGGCAGGCGCTGATGCGGATGATGCAGGTGATGCTGGCGATGTGCCGCTGGAGCGGCTAAGGATGCGCTGACCCGGGGGAATCGAACACCCCAATGTTTCTGAGTTGCGCAAGCCCGCACAATGAACAGATTTAGTGAAGCGTCTTCAAATCACCGCGTGGTACGTGGACCCCACCCCCCCCCCGCAAAAGAGGTAAGGAGCCTTTTTTATGTCCAACACGCCGCCTGTTGTCGGCGGATTTCTCTCTGCGCATGTCAGACATGTCATGTGTTGTATAGCTAACATGAGCTTCTCTCCTGCGACTCTGCTGTCAACGCTTCGGGCTCGCTGATAGATCACTGATCCTGTTTGACTCAAGCAATTGTTTTATGAATCTGTGTGTGTGTGAGACGATGTCTTCGACCTTTACTGCTGACCCCGGATTAATACACCCGTCCTTTCAATAGCAGGGTGTTTTCCGGGACCCCCTATTGTTCAATCATGGGGTTATTAATCTGAGGTTCCCATTCTTGCTGAACTCGTAAGGCGTTGCCTTGTGATACTGATGGTTGAGGTTGGCAAGACCCAGGCAATGCATTCAAAGCAAAGTATGCTTGTTTGATACATTCCATCAAGACATTTCATAGCTTACATCTCTCGGGTTTGGCACTTTTGTGCTCCGTGCAAGCTTTTTGCCACACACGTGGGCCATTTCTAGTTTATCGGGGGGAGAAGCTAGGTTACCGCCTCAGTGTTGTAGAGTCAGGGGATGGTTGAGCCAGAAAGCGATCGGAAGTGGCCCAACGGCACACACATACCTGATGCTTTTTCCAAAGGCTGTGGCCGAATCTGGCCCTTTGTTTCTGTGGACAGTGGAATGGATTCAACAAGCAAGCATTGCCCCTCCGCAGAAGGGTTTTCGTCAGAGGTGAATTGGGCTGAGATCCTTTTCGGGAGGTTTCTCTTGGCCGTAGTCAGCCAGCTACATTTCCCTTTGAGGGTTAACCATCACCTTTTTGGAAAGGCCAACGGAAAGCTGATTTCTTGCTTCGACATAGGGGAACCTCCAAAGTTTTATTGTTTTTTTTTAGGGGGGGGTTGAAGTGTTGGTTTCGCTTTACTTTGGTTTCATGGTCGTTTCAGCACACGGCGTTTCACGCTTCTGCAGAAAAGCCAGCGGTCTCCCGGCCTCGGAGGTGCCGATCCTGGGAATTTGCTTTGGTATGCAGCTGACCGCCCGGGCGTTCGTCCGGGCAGAAGCTGGGAGCAAGGCGACCAAAGGCCGGGGAAGCCACGAGCCGTGCAAAGTGTGGTGTGCAAGACCCGGTCAAGACCCACGTGAAAATGCCCGGTCTATGTGTTGACCCAGAAATTACATGTCATCCCCGGTCAATGCCATGGCTCAGCGTGGTCAGACTGTGATTCCTTCTGGCCTGTTGCTGTCAAAAGAGTGTTGGGTATTCACGTTCGGGTTAAAAATCGGCCTTTAGGCTTGGTGCGCCCAGTGGCAGAGAAGCGGGAGTACAAGCTGGAGCAGGCCAGG